TTTAGGGTTTAGGGTTTGGGGTGGAAAGAAAAAATCTGAACCACAAACAGGACTCTAAAAGGGACCCCTAAAGGAACCCTTTAACCCCTTAACCCTAAATACCTAAACCCTAAACCCGGTTCGGCTTCGGGTTTAACGTTTAGGGACTAGGGTTTACAGGGTTTAGGGTTTAGGGTTTAGGGTTCTGTAAAGTTTAGGGATTAGGGTTTATAGTTTAGGGATTAGGGTTTATAGGGTTTAGTTTAGGGTTTAAGGTTTAGGGTTCAGGGTTGACGGTTTTAAGCTTTAGGGTTGAGGGTTTAGGGCTTTTTGCGGGTGGATGTATAGGGTTGACAGGCTTTGTTGGGCTTATGGGGTTTATACTAAACCCTGAACCCTAAACCCTAAACCCTAAACCCTTGAACCCTGCGTGGCGTTGGTGGGCTTTGGAGTTTTGGGCTTAGGGTTTAGGGTTGAGCTGGTTGTGGATTGTCGGGCTTTTGAGTTTTGGGATTTAGGGTGTAGGGTTCAGGGATTTAGGGTTTAGGTTTTAAGGTTTAGGGTTTAGGGATGTAGGGATTTAGGGTGTAGGGTTTAGGGTTTAGGGTTTAGGGATTTAGGGTTTAGGGTTCAGGGTTTTGGGTCTTGTTTTTAGCGATGTAGGTCTTTGGAGTTTTGCGTTTGGGCTTGTGTCTTGGGGTTCAAGGTTTGCGGCCTCTGGCACTCAGAGTTTAGGGTGTGTGCATGCGGATTAACATGCGGCAAACCCCACAGCGCGAGAACCCTAGAGCTTAGCTCTAAGCTTTACGGTTTAGGGTTTAGGGTTACAGACATACCTTTTCCCCACTTTTTTGCAGGTTCTTGATTTATAGGGACCCTACAAAAAGTAGGCTCTGTTGGGTTCAGGTAGTTCAGGGTTAAAAGTCGTCGCTTACAGCAAGTCGCCTCTGCCCAGACATATACGTCATGGGGCACATAAACATCTATATAATTATAGATCTATCTATCTATCTATCTATCTATCTATATATCTACTGATACGCGACGGTCGCCTCTGATCTCTCAAGTCAGACCACAAAGACCCGACTTAGAGGATCGGGGGACTTAGTAAGTAGGGCTGTAAGTATGATAACTATAGCTACATAGCTACATACACTCATATCACCCCAATTAAGGTACTTATAACCCTGCTTGCTAAGCCCCCTACACCTCTGACTCGAAACCCCAAAAATGTAGGCCTTACAGAAGCCCGCAGAGATCTCTTCCGAAGCCTCAAAACCCCGTGCAGAACCAAGTTTCAGGGTTGAAAACCCGCCTGGCTTCCCAACTCCAAATGTTTAAGTTTTGGAGTCGGAAACCCTAAACCCTAAACCCTAAACCCTAAACCCTAAACCCTAAACCCTAAACCCTAAACCCTAAACCCTAAACCCCTAAACGCATGGAGAAACCCCACCAATGGAAAGCCAAGGTCCCTTGATCCCCAAACTCTCTTCAACTTTTACAGCGACCATCTACAGCCCCGGGTCCAACAAGTGGGGCCTCGCCTCTAACCCCAAAACCCCAAAACCCCAAGGCACCCTCTGAAGACACCCTTACAGAAAACCCTATTCTGATTATTATTAAGGCACATATAATACTACTGGCAAATAACAATGCCTCCGGAGCGATGTTGTTGGTCAGCGCGGCGACGACGAAGCCCGCTGCACGGAGCCTGGACACGAGGAGACTCCAAATTCTTCAGTGCTCTGTTACGGTTTTAACAGGGTTTAGGGTTTGGGTGCTTCCCTAAACCCTCAACCCTAAACCCCAAAGCCCAAAACCCTAAACCCCAAAACTCTAAAGCCTAAACCCTAAGGTCTTGTTTTCGAAGCCCTCCAACCAAAAAAACGCTAAACCCCAAAGCCCTAAGGGTCGGGGTTTAAGGTTTGGAAAGTTTAAGCGTTCTGGTAGAGGTTATGAAGGTTTTTAGAGTTTTGGGTTCGGTGTGCTCTGTATTTTAAAGGCGTCTACATTGTGCTCTGAGCTTCGGAACTGTCGGGCTTGTACTGAAACAAACACTTAGGAAGGACAAGTGTGCCGCTTCCAGATAGTGACGGAGGTGGACCTGGCCAATAACTTTGCTTGAGGCACTTGTCGGGTGGTTGGCCAGTAGAGAGCGTTATTGTGGACTATATTTTTGGCCAGGTGCATGATGGACAGCTTCAATTTGAGTGTGGACTGGTGCATCTTCTGTGTCTCCCGAAACCATGCATTGATCTCGTGGTGGAGAGATTCGTTGGAGGTTGTGCCCGACGGTAAGAGAGCCACTCGCGACGGCTTGAGCATGTGTCGCATGCGACAGTTGTTCAGATACCATTCTGCTCTGGAGTGATCACCGGCGGAGAAAAGAAGCTGGTACAGCTTTCGGTTCGGCCCAGGCGCTATCTTGTTTAGCTCATCACGATGCACTGATGCGATAGCAGCCAGGGCTTGATCTACTCCAATCTCCCAATCTTCAAACCTTCAGACTCCAGACTCTTTCGGTTGAGGGTTTAGCATTTAGGGTTTAGGGTGTAGGGTTTAGGGTTTAGGGCCTAGGGTCTAAACTTTTTAAACCCATGTCACATCCGTAAGCCCCAACACACGAGCTTCCATCCTCCTCGGCTGACTTCTGAACCCCTCCTAAAAGTTAAACTTTTAGCCTACTTATTATAGTTCATATAGAAACCCAAAAGTTAAAGTCCTAAGAGCCAACCAGAAGAACGCCAAGCCCCATCACTGCGCCGTAATGCTTAAGCTTCTCCTCTCAGAGAACCCAATGTCCCTCACTTGGGGAACATACCTTAAATTATAGGCTTAATAGTGCGAGTGTCAAGGTATATTCCTTAATCAAGGGGTATTGGGATCTCTGGGCTAAATCGCAAAACCCTACACCCTAAGCCCTAAAACCCCTACACCCTAAACCCCAAAATCTTACATCCTAAGCCCTACAGACCCTACATCCTCAACCCCAAAAGCCCAATGCCCTAAACCCTACAGTGCCTATAGACCCCCACATCCTAAACCCTACTATCCCTCTGGCCTAAACCCCACCTTAACCTACCAAAACCCACTTTTTGGTCAACTCTTATTATAAACCCTAATCTGGGATTTATAGGGACCCTACAAAAAAAGTGTAGGTTCCGGTGGGTTAAGGTAAACCCTAAACCCTAAACCCTAAGCCCCGGCCTAAACCCTACAGAAACCCCAAAAGAACCTCCAAATCTGGTGGCCTGGTGATGGCCCGGAGCACGGGAACCCGGGGGCGCGCCTGGGACCCAGGATTTAGGGTATAGGCGTTTAGGGGTTTAGGGTTTAGGGTTTAGGCGTTTAAGGGTTTAGGGTTTAGGGTATAGGGTTTAGGGGTTTAGGGTTTAGGGTTTAGGCGTTTAAGGGTTTAGGGTTTAGGGTATAGGGTTTAGGGGTTTAGGGTTTAGGGGTTTAGGGTTTAGGGT